AAAAAAAAAAAAAAAAAAATTCCATCCGAAAATTTTGAAGGAAAATTAGTTTTTTATTATGATAGCAGCAAACTTTTTAAAGTAATTAAAATTAGGTTGATATCAAAGAACATGTTAGAATGAACCTTCTTATTAACTTCACCACTCCCTAAACACACATATGATCATTATCTTTCTTCAAATCTTGTCCCAGATATCCCCGAAGATCTTACAGATTTCCCCTCCAAAAAGTAGCCTCTCAGTGATGCTAACTGGCCCTTTAAAACTACAAATTGTCTGTAACAGTAAAACTAAACCGTGCTCACATTAGGACTTACTTCACAATACATGTATAATGTGACCAGATTACATCACAGCAATATGGTAGACTTATGATGTCTATTTCTGGTTCAACTTAGTCTTGATGTGAACACAGCTCAAAACACTGCAATAAGCCCTTCTGCCCCCCATCTACACTAAAGATACGCTGCTCTGGCTATATATAGATATAAATATCATACAAAGCTGGCCAAATGAAAAAAAAAACCCTAACATTTTGAAATGATGTTGAACAGATAATAATTCTGATGGACCGTCATTTTTTAATGAAATAAATCTGATCATCAACAAATGAATTCTGATAACCCAAGCCTTGTTAAGACAGAATTGTATATTGGTCCTTCAAACAGTCCAAATCAGAATAATTATTACAAACAGCACTGATTGTTGAGAAGCAGGGTGTTGCATATAGTTCAATATCTTTCTCACAAAAACCATACCATTCATTGGCCAAAAACTGAGAAATTAATCTATTATCATTCTTAAAAACCTTGAAATTCAAGACAAAATAGAAACTTGTAATGTTTATAGAAAGATAGTGAACTTTACTGTCATCAGAAAATCAACACAAGCCAAGATCAAGATTATCAGTTAATTGCAGAACTTTAATATGGATTACGTACCACCATCTCCTAGAGAGAAAGAAAAGAAAAGCGTAAAAGTGGATAGTCAGTCAATTTTACATCAAAGCTATTTAATAAGTATATTCTACTCATTTGTCTGTATAACGTACACCCTTGCACGAGGTCTATTCATACACATTTGCACAGGCATGTGCATATGCTCACACACACACATTTATCAATTTGCAAAAAAATGAAATTCAATTGAATTATACCATTTTAAACCAGAATAAAGAAAATCGCAGGCAGATGCATCCCTTTAAATAATCAAACTGGGTTAAAAACTTATACCGTTTGATAACTTCAATATTACAACAGAGACATGTTTCATACTGTTTGATAACTTCAATATTACAACAGAGACATGTTTCATAAGTAAATATTTTACTCAGAGAAAAGATCTTCATATTTAACTCCAAATCAATACTTCATCACATGAAAGGAGCACTACATTAAAGATTGTTAAAGTGTTGTTTGAAAAAAGTCCTGTTATTAAATATGTGATTAAAATGTATTTTCCCATGAAAATTGTTCAGCAAATTAAAAGTAAACAACATCTTAAACACTATTCCTGTCTACTTCGTGAACTCCTAGTTGCTAAGAAATTGATGTTAACCGTGCAAATGAAATCCTATCCCAAAACCTGCAGACCTATATATATAACAGTAGGTCTGCTATAGAAAATGCCATGTAAAATTTTACCAATAAGCACTATTCAAAGTGATTAAGGAAAGCGTGATATTAACAGTGGAAGGTAAGCAAAACAAAAAGATAATCATATTTTGTGTAATATCTGTAGCAACATCAGTGACTGCAATATAGTGTGCTTATAATACTTACCTGGTGCTTAAAAAACAAATAAACATCTCATGAATAGGGTACAAAAATAACAATTTAAGGAAATTCTACAGAAATTTGCCCTTCTCTTCCTCAACATAAGCAATATACTATTACAGGGTTACCAACTTCAGATACTTATGTACTTACATCATATTTCTGACAACTGATATCTTCAATTTCAATTGCTATTGTTTACAACAAGATAAACAACAGTTATTTTTACTTTGTTAACTGATTTGTTGGTAACGCTGCTAGTATATAAAACAAGAATTTGCTTAACCAGTTTTAGTTGGGAAAAGTCAAATAAAATTTCAACACGAAAATGCAAAAAAATAAATAAATAAATAAATAAATAAATAAATAAATAAAAAAACAGACAAGGTTGTAAAACCACTGAGGCTGATGGACAAAGGTGAATTAAAAGCAGCAATAACAAAACATCAACAAACTGCCACTATTTCAAAAACATCTTGCAGTACATTCCTTCATTTCACTTTTGGAAATGCAATACATGCCATGCACTTCTATTCATGACTTGCAAACACCTATGAGTAACCAATATGTTGCTGATAGTATTTTTGATGTCTGTGTGTTGATGTTTCAACAAACTCCCACAAAGTAGGAGGTCTGTCACACTGGTAAGCCAGAGTAGGCAAGTGTGTGTTATGTTAATTCAAAACTGGTAGTGTTTTTAAAGTGGGAGTTGTTATAGGTTGGGAGGTAGAGCTTTCTTCACTGTCACACCATGATGGGTATGAGGCTTAAAACATCATCAACAAGTGATCAAATTACATAGGAGCCTTTCCATAAAAAGTGACCTTTTGAGTCACATCCGTGATGCCCATAATTGGTATTATAATATTTGCATGACTGTATTGATAAACATTTGATCACAATTAATTTCTTTCCATATTGTGGGGTACTATAAATATATTTAGCACAAGACAGCAAAAATAATGGGGCAAGTCAAAATTATGCAAACATAACTGACAAATGTGCCTCACTGACATGGCTCCAATGTTTACTTTGGTTGTGGAATGACCCATGCCAATAACCTGATGACCCAACCTGATAAAATTTATTGATGTAAAGAGGAGCTAAATCAAGTACTGGATCTTATTTTGCAACAGAATACACAACTCCAAATCAGTTCACCCAAAGAAGGCCTTGTGATAAGCTTAAAAACGTTGTGATCTCTGTTTCAATATAAGATCCAACGCTAGACTCAATTTTCCATTAGTATAACATGACTGGATGGGTCAAAACATCCACTTTGGTTAGAGCAAGGGTTTTGACACCATGGTGTCTAGTCATTTGGTTGGACAATATTTTCATGGCTGGACTGCTTTTTAAAATTCTCAGTATTACCCCCCCCCCTCCCCCTTTCCATAATATAACTGATTTAGATTTGGATAATCTGTTCCAAAATCCTGGCTAAACACCTGGGTTAAGAAGAAAGGTGGACAAAAGACCCTGAACCTGGGAGTGTTGTGTGGAAGAGGATTGGATTGAATATGGAATGGTTTGCTTGGTGTGCCAACTAACCTGGAAGAAGGAATAACGAGTGCTCTGTCGGGGGCGAGCGGCAGCGGGAAGGTGGCGCTTGATGGGATCCAATTCGGCTGGATGAACCAAATTCTCAACTACATGCAAACAAAATGACAACCATTTGGCACATTTTTACAATATTTGCACAATATTGGCACAGTTCACATATTCAAAGCATTGTATACAAATGCAGCAGCTTGCAAGACAAGTAAAAGTCTTCATATCTCTTTACTTTTATATTGCCTAGAAAAGAAAGGCATCAAGTATTAGTTTTTAACTAAACGAAAGATGGCAGCACTGTTACATGACAGTCCTGTCATACTCAACTTAAACAGCAGCTCTACAGCTAAACAGTTTTACTAAAACAGCGCAATGAAGCTAAAAAATGAAAAAAAAAATGCAGGCTAGCTGAAAATGATGCAAAATAAAAAAATACAAAATACATTTAAAAAGATCATAATTGCTTGTTCTTGGTGCAAGGGATGTTCAGGGTACACATAGAAATGACATGGGACTCGAATCTGATGCAAGAAATGGGACGAAGACAATTTCGGTGCAGGTGCTTTGTTCATCTGACAATACAGATAACTGTAGGAGAATTACCAGGAAATTCACAGTCCAGTGTTTATTAGGTTCACCTCTCATGGGTCTTGTATTTGTTCTTCAACAAAGGCACAAAAACTTAACAAGTCAAACATTATCATGGTGGCAAACAGAAAATCAACATTCTACAACTACGATACACAACCACCTAGACCAACATGCAGTTCACCTGAAAGAAGGAGTAACGCAAACTATGGCGAGGTCTGGCATGGGCCTGTAGGTGGCGCTTTGCTGGGTCCAGTTCTGATCGCAACACGAGTCCTTCAACTGGCATGTCAGCGTGTGAAGCAGATTAATCACATCATTGTAAAGTTTAAACAAATTTCATTCAAAATATTCTTGTTTAAGACCTAGTTGACACTGGCACTACACATGAATTTTTGTTAAAGACACAATGCTTCATCCCACTTTAAACGGTGCACGAGAAAACACATTTTTAACCTAATCATTTTTACATGTATTTAAAGCAATAAGCACTTTTAGCACACCAACACTACCGACAACAAAAGCTATGACCACAAAAACATTTTATAAGTCAAAGAAATTTTTTTTTTCATTTTATCAATATTCAAAAAACAAATTTGTTTAACTTTCAACATAACCCATTAAATTCTCCTTTTCATTTCATCAGGAAAATATTTTTAAAAACTACCATTATCTTGATCATAAAATAAAACGAAAACATTCCTTTAGAAATCAGCTGCTGTAAAATGCTGTGGACTTACACAATAGTTGTGAGATGATGTACACAGCCTGTCCCCACAGAAACAGGTGCCCCGTGTCCTCCTCAGCACTGGGTTCCCTCATCTGACTGCCTGGCTTCTCCTTCTCTGCATCCACCAGATCCAGGGGCACGTAGAAATACTTGGGGACTATCACTCCTAGAAGAAGAATTTGAAAATTGGAGAATTCAGCAAAGATTGAATGGTGTAATTTTGAGAGAGAGAGAGAGAGAGAGAGAGGAGAGAGACTGTAAGCATATTGAGTGAGAAATTCTTGCATGTCATCATTTCCAGAACACACATTTCATCACACCTTTAAAAATTTGTTGTTAATCTAATAAAGTCATTGCTGCATGTGATACTTTGAGGCATTTTGGATTCTATAGATGAAATGGACTAAGGCCTCATTCAGAATACGGGACTAACTAGTCCGAGGGTCAAATATGGCAACCCACCACAAAGCTTGCAGTCTAATCCGCTAATAGACACTGAATGGATATCCAGTGGGGAAGTATTCAAGTGGGTCAGCCATATTTGGCCCTCAGACTAGTTAGTCCCCTATTCTGAATGGGGCCTTACACAATCACTATGGTAAACAAATAGAGATAAGTTTTCCTCAAATTTAAGTGTTCTGTGCAAGCATAACTCACCATCAGGTGTAAATGCCAGTAATGGTTTGACTAGCTCCATGTATTGCTTCACTTTCTCCTGGTCATTCTTGAAGATTCCTGCATTTAGAGAAAGGCAGATTTAAATTAACCACAAGTGATGCTGATAGGTCTTTGCAGCTAGAAGACTAGACATAGACTTCTTTTGTTTACTAGAGAATGCTGGAGACCAAGCTCTTTAGTAAACAATAGAAGTCAACATCTAGTCATCTAGCTGCAAAAGGCATATTGGACTTTACCAGTTAAGCCAAACAAGAATTCTGTCAAAACCATGAAAAAGTTGTAATGCCCAAGCTGAAACTGTAAAATACTTACCATCAATTATCATATACAGGAAAAATAGGGGCCACTCACATTCAATACCATCAAAATTCTGGAAGAAGAAACAAATGCAAATTAACCTATTAGCTATGAAAAAGCAAATTCAGTGATATTCTTCTCAATTCAAGTTAGCTAACAAAAGAGCTTCAGGTTTTCACATATTAATGGAGCTTACATTTCTTTTTCAATAATAATTCTGTCAACTGCAATTGAAAAATGGAAAATTTAAAATTACATGTGGTTTCTATCAATGATGTTAATACCTTCAAAAGCTTTTCATTTCATAACAAGTCAAATTTAATTAATTTTACTACCACCTCAAAATAGCCAATCAGAACATCACACCTTTATTTCTGCTGGCCTGTAGTACTTCCTGCTTTTGTCTTCTACCACTGTGCCATAGCCGTCCCGCAGAAACCTCTTCATGCCACTGGTTCCTTTCAGCTTGCGGACAGCCTTGTCTATGGTGCGTTGTCTGAGATTCTCGTCATGAAGGGCAAAGGCGGGCCAGGAGACCACAGGAATCAGAGAGCAGTCTGTGTTCTGGAGTAGAAAATCAAACCAGGTGTCACATTTCAATAACAAGTTGTATGGAGCGATTTTTACTCTGGAGGGGGAAATCTCCAATTATAATATTTTCATTAAAAACATTTTAGCTACCAATCTAATCTTGCTCATAAATTTAACTGACTTAAAGTTCAGATTTTAATTGTTTAATATGCAGCACAGTAAGATCATACACCACTTGTTCTTAAATAGAGTTTCCACCTGAACACATACCAGTATTTCTTAAATATAGATTTGCTTGAACATACCTATTCCATTTACAAAAACTCAAATACTTTAGTTAGGCTTCGTTTGTACTTAAATGCACAGGTCCTGGAATCTAAATACATCTGAAAAACACTCATCACAAACCTTGGAATTAGATTCTCTTGGCAACATGGAGTCAAAGATTGTCCTATTTCTGTTGTGGGCATCCACATCGACATATATGACAGACCAAGAGGCGCCACTGTCGCCAAAGACATTGAAACCATTGATAGCTTCCAGGGCTGCCTTTGCCATCCCTATGGAGCTGAAATGAAATTGTTATGTAACAAATTGAAAGGGAAGTGAGATCCACAATGTTGCCCAGCATGCAATCTTCATATTGGAATTTGTGTGTGAAACTGGGCACAGGGTGCAATGTCATTTTTGTGCTAAATATTAATTCTTATCAACAAGGCTACGGAGGAAACTATATTTCATTTCAAAGATTAAACATAAAATTCTATGATTTCAGTGGGAAATGAATCTTATAACAAGACGATCACTAAATTTCATGCTTGAAAAGTACAAAAAAAAAAAATAAAATAAACAATCAAATTTGAAAAAAACTGTTTTCATTTTCAGGAAATTCCTGTAAATACTCCTGTTCACATTTCCCAGTGGCTCACTGTTGTCATTGCTGTAGTGGTGCAGGCCTGCAGCAGACTTGGACATTTTTAAATTGAACACTTGTTTGAATTATTTCTAAGAAAAAATTCCAATCCTCAAAAAGTGAGACAACTTTTGACATCTTCCATACCTGGCATGCAGCTCACTGTTGCCGTTGTTGTACTTGGTGCCTCTCTCCCACATCCCATAGTCTGGAGTCCTGTATGCCCTCTCCAGGTAGTACACCAAGTTCTGAACAAAATTCACTTCATCTGTGGTATAGATAATCTGAAAAATATAAACATATACATATTAAGATCTGTGGTACTTCCTTACACAATGGAGGATCAATTAAAATTACTTCTTTTATAACAGAAACATTGCAAATATCTGGAACTGTAGTTGTTTTCTACGGTGGAAAATAAATTGAAATTACTTCAAAATTGTAATTTTCCTTGAACTTCCATCACTTTTTCCTTAACTACAATGTCCAAAAGCATTTGAAGCATAATGATACACAAACTTGATTTTGAGCTCCAAGTGTCTAGCTTTTAGGTCACTCTTCTAAGCGAGATAGAGACAGGTGAATTTCACTTCTGATGGTAAAAGTTAGAAATTTAAGACTCAAAAATGAGTTTACCGATCGTGATTTTATTAATGGATTTAGACGGGATATACTTTTTTTGCAACTTTAAGATCTCAAGCTCATGGTGAAAGGGCATACCTGCAGACCCGATGAGATCATCTGTACCAAGAACAGCACGTACTGAGCCACACAGTCAATCTGGAACAAGTGTGATAAAACGGCATTACATTCTCTCAGTATAACACGGTGAAGGGCATAGTTCAAAATGTAAAATTAATGGTGATGATAGTATAATTTGCGATACAATGATCAACTATTTAAAATTGTTATTGGCATGCCCAACACAAGGAGTAAATATTAATTGTATTTTAACCACATCAACAAGGATATTGACAATTGAATATTTTAACAACATGAATAGCCAAAATATAAATAATAAAGCCATGAAGAGGACAAAAACTACCTGCAAATGTTGGTATTCCCCATCTCCCACTACAATAGCACCAGTTTTTATGTTGAACTTTGAATGTAAGGCTGTCTTGGCACTTTGGCTGTGTTTGAACTGCTCCACCTAGTGTTGAAAGCGAAAGTCATGATCAATATCCTTATATTCCCAGTGTTGGTTACATAACACTGAGGTGGCAAAAACGCATATAAATATGACCAGCTTTTTTTAAGGTCCAAAAACACCATTCCTCACATAATCAATAATGCATTAACTTTGTTAAAAAACCAGTGACTATTTATTTTGTCTTGCACTTCAAAATCACCTTTTGGATTTTTTTTTTAATAATAAACAAAGGTATCTGCTGATCCCCCCCTCACAATCTACAGTCCACTGGTTGAAACATTCATCAAGATATTTTAATATAATAATTAAAATGCTATAAATTCTCATTCATTACATGGAGCTCTATGTCACAGTGGCTGATACAACACTAACCCTGTCTGCTTGCTGCATCCAACAGGCTAAGATTCCTCTCATGCACTTCACAGTAGACTGGCCAAGTTCATATGTACGTCCCTGGTCGTCATCTTGCTTCCTATGATAGCAAAGTATGGCATAAAATTAAAATCCAGTTTATACTGCTTTTTAACATTAAAAGACGATTTTAAAGCCTGTTAGGTCTACATCTTCTCCGCCTATTTGCATCCCCACCTCTTGGAAGGGGAAAGGGGGGTGAGAGAGCAGTGTTACATATGCCGTCTATAGTGGCTTCACATAGTATGGGAAAACCACCTGTCAAACTGGTCATAACTGTCTGAAATGCCAGCTAGAGGACATGCTATATTTCTGATACATATGACAGGATCTTTGGACTGGCAGGGTTTCCCTAATTATAAATCACATGTAAGCATAGCCTAACAGAAATAAAATCCTTACTTTAGACAGAATAGGAAGGACTTGCAAGATTTTTTGTAGTACAGGTCCTCCAGACCTTCAGTATCTCCAAAGTTCCCCACCCCCCCCCCACCCCCATCTGTGACATTAGCCTTATCACATGACATCAATAGAAGGGTCATATATGGGTAGAGTTGAACTGTTTTCACTCTAAATGCCCCAATGTTAATTGTCATAAGGTACATTATGCACGTGCATCATAATTTTTTAGCGTTTTAATCCCTGCCTTCATCACCGTTTCGCGCGTGTGTGTGTGTGTGTGTGCACATGTGTAGACATGTATGCATGTGCATGCATGTGTGTGGTCATTTCCTGACCTGTATGCCAGTGAGAGTGCCCATATGGCAGCAGCACAGTATACACTGTCCCTAACATGGGCTTCATTGGGAGCCTTGGCCAAGTTACAGGGAAATAAACCAGTGGCAGCATTCTGGTGGATCATCAACTGTCTTTTAACTGAAACACAGGAGATACATGGTTAATTTTAAAAGGAAATAATATGATAAAAGTACAACTGTTGGTAGCATTACATGAAATAAACAGTTTGGAATTCACATCTACATGTAGGTAGCACTTACATCCTTTCATTTATATTAATATGTATTCTATTCTTTTAAATTTGGTTCTGATTGTACATAATCATTACTTCAGTGGTGTTATTCATACTAATGGCTTCCACTCTGTAAATTACAAAAAATATGAACGGAATGCCAGAGACAAAAAAAACTGTGCAATATTACCAAGAGTACACGTATACTGTAGCAGTTAATTAAGCTTACCAAGCTCATTCTCTCCTTCAAATAAAACTGCCATTAGATCCACACTACTTTAAGACTATAACATCAAAAACTTTGTTGAATTGTTCGATATTACTAACCTCTGTGTGTTCAAATTTAGAACGCCCCCCCCCCCCCTTGCATCCATAGTTTCAAGGACGAAAGCCAAGGGCATAAGATTCAGTCGTACTTATTCAATAGCAAATCACGGTTTGCTTTAAATTTCCTCGCCAAAACAAGCCCATCTCATTGTTCTTCTAAAATCACAGTCTTATACTTACCTACTCCATACCAGTCGTCTAGTCTCCTCACTCTTTCAGCAGCCCGTTCTACCCAATCAGACGCCATGTTCGGCTGCAGAAACTTCCGACTTACTCTGCTGTCAGAGATAGGATTAATATTCAGGGCACTCGCTGTTGACATTTTGCGCAGCCTCATGCTGAAGGAACTTAAAGTGTCAGAAGTCACCGAAGCCAGTGAATTTTCCCTGGTACTCATTGTGGCATTTACTTTGCAGTGATGCACAGCCCCCAAAAATATCTATATTTAGGTCATCTTCTTTCACCCATGAGATATGTCGTAAACAGGTGTAAGCGTACCCCTTTGTGATTCGCATGACCTAGTTAACAAAAATAGGTCATGTTTACATTGGCATTCCAGTCTCATTGTTTTATTATTTTCATCCAAATCCCTGCATTAGATTCATTCTTAGCTGGTCATATGTTTTGACGGATTTAGTCTTATTATTAATTCTTTAAGCGGGGATTCTGGATAACGGATACATCACTCCTTTGGAGCCGTTTTTCGACTGAAAGTAAATCCCTTACTAGAGGCGTGAAAGTGTCCCACCATCTGTATCAGTATTATGAATTTTTCTCTTTAAAATAGAAACTTTGGTATTCCTTATTAATTTGAGAACCTATGCACTAATTGCACATATTTAGAGATAACTAAAGCCAGATCACCTGAAATTTTCAGCAGTCCTCTGCCTTTTTCTTCAGGTGTTATACACTGTACTAAGTATAGACTATATTTGTGATTGTTTGTTTACTATATTATAAATAATACTAAATTATTTTGTACAATTCAACTCAGTGACACCAAAATAAACTTGGAATGCTTTTATTTCACACAAATTCTTCCAAATTCTTCCACTCCCATACATATTCAGTAATTATCAGCCACATGAATAAAGAAGAAAAAGAAGGTTTTAAAATATCATACCAATATTGCAAAAGTGAGTTAAACCTATATGCAATTTAAAGTTACTGCATTGCAGTTGCAGTTGTTTCAGGTTTTACAACAGGTTGTATGAAAAACAGAGAAAACTGCACATACACACCCTTAAATGGTTTAATTTCACAAAACTTTCAAAATCACAAAGCAACCTGAAAATACATCATTTCATCTTTTTGGAAGTGGAATGGTTTTCGACAAATCCATTTGGGCACCCACAATGAAAACAGAAATAAGTGTGACTAGTTGTTGCATGAGTACAAAAATGTTATGAAAAAAAAACACATGCTTCTTATAAAACACATCCAATCTAACAAAAATATTGTACATCAAAACTACACAAAAAAAGGAATTACTATTTAACTTTTCAAAAATCGATGCTACAAATGTTCATTGGCATTAGGACGGCTTCTAAACACAACACTCCTACTGATGAAAAACTCAAGTAGAATTTTAAGAATCAGGACGGTAATAGTAACAAAAGTAAAACAAATATGGACGTTGGAAAAAGCATCCACGGCAGAAATAAAATTTGATACAAATATATTCATGGAGAAACCTACATGACCTTACCAAAAGAAAAGTCTAGCATTGTTTCAAATATGGGCTGGTGCAAGTATTCTTACTCATCTAAAATCTTAAGTGTGTTATACTCTTTGATAAATTTGGGGATTGAGTTTTGCAAAGGTGTTCATATATACCCTCTGATTAATCAAAAAAAAAACTCACTTCTTTTTTTCCAGAAGAATAAATGCAGTTAATGTGCAGCTCCATTAATATTTTTTATATATGTAATTTCTAAGTGTTAATTACATGAAATAATGTGTTTAATAAATCTATGAATGGAAAAAATATATATCTTTCCTTTTAGACAGTTTTCAACAAATTCTAATATTAAGAAAATAACCAGATTTGACTACATACATAACAATTCTGAACACGACAGAGACAACACAAAGTGAGCAAAAGGAAAATGGGAAGCAGTGGTTTTGCAGTTCATTCATTAAATAAATAATTTATAATCAGAAATAACAGATCTTTCTAGAATGTCGCTGCCACACAAGGTCTTGATCATAAATTGCACTGTTTGATGTGAATCAAATTTTTTTGCTTCGGAAATATGTTCAAGTTTCTTTTCCTTTCAAGGAAGTTTTGTACAAACTAGACCCATTAGAAGATGAATACATGTAGAGCCTAACACTCACTTTCATTTTATCAAATAAGATGCAGCTTAAAAATAATGAAAAAATCCCCAGGGCTCCATTCACATGAAACCACTTGCTGCAGCACTTTTGGATTACAGCTAGTCTTACAAGAGGATAAAAAATAGAAAATCATACAGTTCTGTTGTTTCATACTCATCTCTCCACTTGAACGGGTAATCTGGCACTAACTGCTTTTGATCCTGGATGGAACATTTTAACATGCATAGGACCTTTGTNCTTTGATAAATTTGGGGATTGAGTTTTGCAAAGGTGTTCATATATACCCTCTGATTAATCAAAAAAAAAAAATCACTTCTTTTTTTCCAGAAGAATAAATGCAGTTAATGTGCAGCTCCATTACTATTTTTTATATATGTAATTTCTAAGTGTTAATTACATGAAATAATGTGTTAAATAAATCTATGAATGGAAAAATATATATATCTTTCCTTTTAGACAGTTTTCAACAAATTCTAATATTAAGAAAATAACCAGATTTGACTACATACATAACAATTCTGAACATGACAGAGACAACACAAAGTGAGCAAAAGGAAAATGGGAAGCAGTGGTTTTGCAGTTCATTCATTAAATAAATAATTTATAATCAGAAATAACAGATCTTTCTAGAATGTCGCTGCCACACAAGGTCTTGATCATAAATTGCACTGTTTGATGTGAATCAAATTTTTTTTGCTTAGGAAATATGTTCAAGTTTCTTTTCCTTTCAAGGAAGTTTTGTACAAGCTAGACCCATTAGAAGATGAATACATGTAGAGCCTAACACTCACTTTCATTTTATCAAATAAGATGCAGCTTAAAAATAATGAAAAAATCCCCAGGGCTCCATTCACATGAAACCACTTGCTGCAGCACTTTTGGATTGCAGCTAGTCTTACAAGAGGATAAAAAATAGAAAATCATACAATTCTGTTGTTTCATACTCATGTTGTCAGAACTTCTACAACATACTCCTCAAATAAACTGCATACCACATGCCACTTTTGACATTGAATAATTTGCTTCATCTCTCCACTTGAACGGGTAATCCGGCACTAACTGCTTTTGATCCCGGATGGAACATTTTAACATGCATAGGACCTTTGTACCCTGTCAACTATATTCCCACTTATGGAAGAAACATTGACTGATCTCTTCCTACTTTAAAAACCTGTTTTTTTTACTATCTCCTCCAAACTGACTTCAAGGATTTAAAGATAATATCCTTGTTTCAGTCCTCTTTACTCTGAGTAAGTTAAGTACATTCTTTTGTCACAGTTGATGTTTGAGCTCATTTCTTAGAGTTTTCCTTTCTTGGTGAATTTCTTTTCTTTGGAGGTGGTTCTAGCGGAGTGTCTTCACAAGAGCTGCCACCTACAGTTTTGGCTAGGGGAGTTATAACCAGACCTTCGCTGAGATCTATTGTTGTCCCTTCTTGACTCTGAAACAACATATTTAAACAGTTATGTTAATAAATTCAGCTTAAGATAAATTGAAACTGATGGAACTGATGTCCATGTTACACGCAATTTAAGCTATTTACTGTAACAATATGTAAAAGATATTCAAGCATAGAGAAGTAAAAAAAAGTCACTTATATGCTCAGAGAACAATTTCATCAGCTGTGTTAAGTTATAATATTGGAAATATTGGAGGTAAAACCTATCTCAACATTAGCTGTTGACTGAAGAAAAAATCACATCATTCACTAATGCTGCATTTTCATGCTATTTTCAAATATTATGGCAACACCTTTTAAGGTTTATTACAATTTCTTTCAATGGCAACTTATTGATACATGATGGAATTAAAGACAATTATTCACAAAATCAGACAAAAATGGTACTTACTGCTCTGTAGTCTAGAAACATTTCTTTAAAGGCCATGAAATCGCTAAAAGTCAGTAACATCTCAAATATTTCACCTTCTAATTCTTCTTTCCTTTTACTGAAATCAATATATACCATCAAGTTACTTGAAAAACCATGTAGATTTTATTTCATACTATATAAAGAAAAAACATCTTGAAACTTATTTCTGTTTAAATTTTGAGCTGCAATATTAGTGCTCACCCAAACAAAAATAAAATGCTGTTAAAGTTATATCTGAATGAACAAATAAACCTGAACTTACATGGCAGCCAGATGATACGTATTTTAGATCTTGGATATCTCAGTCAGATTAAAAGTAGACAGTGAGACTAGCAACTGGGTTATACACCACAGATGTAGATTTGATTATACACTTGTGCAGATATTAAGTAAATCTCTTCATTAGGCTCAGTACACCCACATATCAAACCATTATTTAAGCTTTTTTCATTCTCTTACATGAAAAAAAAAACATATTTGATCACTTTTTAACCCATCAAAGTAAATAAATATCCATTCAATTGAGAAAAAAATTCAGCCCAACTTACACTAATTGCTTAGAGAATTCACTCATGCAAAAACCTTGCATTCGCCTAGTAAGTTCTTCTTCAATAAATTTTTCTACCAGATTGATCTGTAAAGAATAGAGCACAAACATTTTAAGTATATTAGCAAAATTGTGCTTGTAATTAACCAATATATATAGATATGTATAGATATAGATATTAAAATGATATATGATAAGAATAATGGGTGTTTGAAATATCTGTTACGATTCTGTGGCCAATGCATCCTTCGCTTTTTCAACCAAGGATTATGGAACTATTACAACAACAAATATGTGACTTTTGGCAAGATGAAACATTGTGAACTTACATATTCTTGATGGATATCTGTGTATATGAATTTATTCTCTTCGCTATCATCAAATTCTTTGTAATATTTTTCAAGGAATTTTTGTTGTAGATCCTGGAATTCATCTTCTGCAAATACAAAACCAATAACACACCATGAATGCCAAGTGAGCATCATTATCAAGCATCACCATTAAAAAATTCTTAATAAATATTTTAACTATAAGTTTTCACTTCATATTTTTTCAAAATGTCATCACTCTTTTATTTCTGTGGGTACTAAATCCATTATTTTCATAAAATGAGTGAGTATTTTACACTTTAAAACATTTGCACTTTACACATTACCCATTATAATGTCTTCTATGTGTCCTATTGTTATATCAAACTTGGTGTCTGCTATGCTGGAACTGGGAGGAAAAGAAGCTCATTTAAACAGAAGTCACACAGCCACCCAAACCAAATATATACCTTTTTTAACAGCTTATGATATTGCAATAATAAAAGTATATAAAATGTGGTTCTTCAACTGTGGTTAATTTTAAAATCTATAAACAAAAGAGTTACTTAAAACAGAAAACTTTGCCTCAACCAAAGTGGTAAAATAAAAAATCATTTTACTGACACCTCTACCCCCAGGGTACAAATTGCGGGGTACAAGCTTGATATGAACACATAAATACCTCGAAGAAGCAAGTTCCTCTTCTTGAAAATCCATCGGCTCTGTATCTGGTAACATAGATTTAAATAGATATTTCAAAGGATGAATTGGGTTTGTGTGTTAGGAGCTGTATATTAGTATTACTACTAGCAGTATGCTAACCGAGCACCGCTGGTTATTTCTGTGCGATTCGTGGGGTTTACTTTAAAAACGTACGGTGTTCTCAAAAGGCTTACCGCTCTCATGAGGTGGTTGGAATGTAAATGCGCTAAAATACTGACATCAACTTAGGAAACGATCTTATCCCAACTTCCCAAGACTTCGTTGATCATGCCCAGATGAAGGGCGATTGTCAATAAACTTCTGATTCTGATTCTGTTAACCGCGTTATCAACAAGTTTAAATCGTTGAACATTTCTCATCAATGTCAGAAAGTTTGAGTACACTTGGCAATATATATTTTTTCAATTCTTGAATAATTTACATATATTTTCGATTGCTGTTTACCAAATTTCTCAAATACTGCGACCTTTTCATTGGAATTTTGACAAATGAATGAAAATATTCAACTTACCCGAATCATCAGCCGCCATATTGAAACGGATCACAGGAAGTAATCCGCGAAGTACATAATTACCGGCTTTTCCGGTTAAATTTAAGAAGGTAGTTAGGTGCATAATGAGAAAGACCATTGTTTACAAAATAAAATAAAAAATAATTTCTATTCAGAATGCCAATTCTGATATAATGGAATTAATCAGTGCGTGAAACAATTTCTTTTAATTAAGACAGATCTAAATATTATTGAACAACCACTTACTTTTATCAAGCGTGGATGGTGTAACGGTTAGCATGGTTGCCTTCCAAGCAGTCGATCCGGGTTCGACTCCCGGTCCTCGCACACTTTTTCTTCTTTTCATCTGTTTCAACAATTTTAGCATGAAGGTTTGAGGGAGAAAACAGATTGTCAGTTTCCTGGCCCTCTGAAGGTGCAAAATATCTAGATCAATGTTCATAGTTATTGAGAATAAGCATATTATATCCCTAGGCATATGTTAGGCGTATTTCCAACTGTATTTCACAACACATCACGGAACCATTACGGGATTATAAATTGCCTGGTCGTGGGTTTTTCAAGTTTATCAAGTGTAGGCCTAATTTAATTTCACTTTACATGGTTGAAATAAATTAATATTATCTTAGCTATATTATATCTTTGCCAATCGATTAAAATCAACCATTACTAATTCAAGAGCTTGATATGTAGCGCAAGTATCATTTTTATTTTACTTGTGTTTTTTTTTTTTTTTTTTTTCAATTTTTTTTTTTGGGGGGGGGNTCTGAAATAAAAAGGGACCTCATTAAAAATGACCATTTTATACAAATTGGTTTTTATTTATTTTTTTTTTTCAATTTTTTTTTTTTTTTTGGGGGGGGGGAGGGTAGTAAGGCTCTAGGTGTTCAGCAATAGTCAAAACAATATTGCTCTAAAAGTAAAGTATACGTAGGCCTACATCATTTTAAAAACGCTTTTGCTTTTCGAAGTAAACAGTAACTAGAAAAGCACTCAGAGAGCGCAGACCTCCGCCAAGGCAGCAAAGTCTCCATCCAATGCCGTTTCAGCCCTAAATTTTCATTCTATAATGATTTAGTTTTTTGATTTTGATTATTGATTATTGATTGATTATTGGTCCGGATCACCACCAAAAACTAATCATCTGTTCCTTGGCCCACTTCTGACAGGCCCTGAAAATTTAATCAAAATCGGTCCATAATTTAGTTTTTTGATTTTTGATTGATTATTGATTATTGATTGATAATGTATCCCGATCACCACCAAAAACTAATCACTTCTAAGTTAACCCATTTCTGACCTACCCTGTAAATTCCATCGAAATTTATCCATAACTTTTTGAGTTATGTTGATGACAAACAAACAAATAGGGGTGAAAACATAATCTCCTTGGCGGAGGTAAATATAAAATGTTTTTCGATTGTCTGCTTGACAAATGGATTTCGTTTTATTTATTATCTCATCTCTGTAGTAACATAATTGGACAATTCAAGGAATTGAGACATTTCCCTTCTCCTCGTGCACGTGCATTTGTTTGTGCACAGCATGTTTTATTTCATTTGACTACTTTAGTTTTTCATTTGAATGCAAACGCCAAATGTTGTATGGCGAGTTCCCCTGCTGCACCAAGAAGTGCCCATCTTGTTTGTCTGTTGGATATTCGGTCTGCACGCCATTTCTATGACATTATTACCGGCATAAGCGGGACCCTTGGCCGATCCGGAGCATCCATGCCAGCATCCGAAAGTCTGGTAGTTGGTGACACCTTGGAGCAGGTCTCTGCAGGGGGTCTGTGCGTATGTGACGTCATCGCTATCGATGTAGCAGAGAACCCAACCGGCCGGTACAGTGATACCGGTGTTATTGTCTTGGCGCACGGAAGAATGGTGGAGAATGCTCCCGCATGGATTCTTGTTCACTGAAATTATACGGCACATTTCGTTTGGTTTGTCTTTCAAGAAAAACAAGCAACATTACCTTTCATCGATATGGAAATGAACTGACACTCTGCTAGTATACTGTAAAACGAAATAATGTCTCTAAAACAAATAAAATATAAATGTAATTTATGTTATATTCTTAACCCCAGGCTGAGTAAAAACAAATGTGCACTCTTTAAGTGTTATTGCAGTTCAATCCTTGGAATCCAGGTGCACATAGGCAAGTATAACCTTCTATACAAGTGCCCCCATTCAAACACGGTGTGCTGGCACACTCATCTGTGTTCGACATGCACAGAAAAATCGCCATTAAATTAACTAATAATCAAACAATTATGATGCCCTAAATACGTTTTTCGTTGATAATCAGTGATAGTAATATCAATAACACTGAAGAGCAACATTTGGAAAATTGTTAACAGTTTGGTAAATTATAGTCGACGAAATGCAGCTTTTTCGTCTCTCTCTCTCTCTCTCTCTCTCAGAGACTCTCCCTTGTAAGAATGCATGTCACGAAGGGTTACCAACTGAAAATCTTTTATGACGAAAAGACTCACGCACCCTTCTCACACCTATCTCCGCTGTACCCGGGTAAACATCTACAGGTGTAATTCTTCTCATTGGGAATACACGTGCCGTTGTTCCTGCAGCTGTTACCGATGCAATTATCTTTAACTGAAATATTGCATTTTTCTCTTTTAATGATTTAGCATTCATTTTATCATTTTAATTAATTGTTTCATCATATCGATATAACTCATGCTGCAGTTAAGATGTTTTATATTTTCAGTCCACTCTGCAACCGTCGCACGTGAATATGACACCCCCTACCACCGACAAAATAAAACAATAAGTAGAATTCAAAAAATGCTTTAATGCCTATAAATTATACACTATAGAACATATGAACATTTCAACAGACCAACAATCCAGCTTTCAACGTAATTATCCTTTTTTATTGGGAAATTACTTACTTGTGGTGACAACTTGTGAATTCGCCTCGATACACTTCAGATATTCTTGCTTGATGTAGTCCAGCGAATGACGTGCGAGCTCCAGCTCCATGTCCAGACTGGCGGGATTTACCTCTCTCTTCCCAAAGAATTGCGCCAGTTTTTCTGCGCTCTCCGGCTGACTGAAGAACGCCGGACAATCTTTAAACAGCTTTTCCCGCATTTTCTCAAGCTGTAGAGTTAGATGGTATAGATCGTATTTCTTGTTGAAAATGCCCACGGCATGGTTGGTATTTTGCCCGTTAGTCCCGACGGACAGGAAAGTCAGAACGCCAAAGAGAAGGAGGGACATCATCATGCTCGAGCTGACGAATGATCGGCACCGAAATACATGAAAATGTCCACAAAGATACTTATATAGGCACTACGTTAACCGCTAGGATTAACCCCGGGCGATTAACCCATATATGTATATATTTATCTGTGAAGGCATGACCCTGAATAGAGGCTATATTCACAACACAGCTTATGAAATAATTCTTTGAATACGCGAAAAAGTTTCTAGAAAGTGAAGATAAGAACTTATGAAAATAGAAAATTAATCATGCATTACGCAACGGTAAAACACCATTATACAAATACCCCTTTAGAAGTTACATGAGGCCCATTTTTGGATATTTTTTGTTCTTTGAGAAGAGGTTAACTCTGAAAGGGAGAATCAATATAAATTTCTCATGAACACCATTCTATCTTTAAAGCCTAATCTTGGACAAATAAAACATTCAGTAAATAAAACGCTTTTCGAGCATCTGCTTGACATACTGGATTTCTTTTTATTTTTTTCACATCCCTGTGTTAACATTAATGGACAATTTAAGGATTTGAGATATTTTCGTTCTTTCTATGTGTTTATATGCACAGCATGCTTTATTTCATTTGACTGCTTCAGTTTTTCATTTGAATGCAAACGCCAAATGTTGTGTGGCTATTTCCACCGCACCAAGTACGCATCTTGCTTGTGTGTTGGATATTCGGTTCGCAAGCTTCCTCTATGATATCATTACTGGCATAAGCGGGACCCTTGACCGATCCGGAGCATCCATGCCAGCATCCAAAATTCTGGTAGTTGGTGACACCTTGGAGCAGGTCTCTGCAGGGGGTCTGTGCGTATGTGACGTCATCACTATCGATGTAGCAGAGAACCCAACCGGCCGGTACAGTGATACCGGTGTTGTTGTCTTGGCGCACGGAAGAATGGTGGAGAATGCTCCCGCATGGATTCTTGTTCACTGAAATAATATGGCACATTTCGTTTGGTTTGTCTTTCAAAAATATTAGCAGCATTATCCTGCAGCACGCTGATCGATATGGACACTGTATACGGAAAACCGAAAATGTCTGTAAAACAAATAAAAAATGTAAATAAGTTCATGCTATAAAAAAGAGCAATATTAAGAAAATGCTGCCACCATGAATAATGCTGCTTTTTAATAGTAGCTTAATAAATAATCGCACGATGACGTGCAGCTTTTTTTTAAATCTTCTTCATGTCCTCTCTCTCTCTCTCTCTCTACCGCCCTCCCCAACCGCCAAACAACCTTAGTTTAATGGTAATCGCGAGACACTAATGACAGACACCCCTCTGTCCTAATAAATGTCACGAAGGGTCACCACCTGAAAATCTTCTATGACGAAAAGACTCACGCACCCTTCTCACACCTATCTCCGCTGTACCCGGGTAGACATCTACAGGTGTAATTCTTCTCATTGGGAATACACGTGCCGTTGTTCCTACAGCTGTTACCGATGCAATTATCTTTAACTAAAATATAACAATCTCTTTTATTGATTTAGATTTCTTTTTCTCATTTTTGTAAAATTTGTTTTATCTTATCGATAGAACTCATGCTGCAGTTTAGATGTTTTGTATTTTAGTACATTCTGCAATCGTCAGACGTGAATATGACACACCCACCACCACCACCAAAATAAAACAATAAGTAGAATTTTAAAAGATGCGTTAATGACTGTAATATATACACTATTATACAATATTATAAATTCTTGTAACCCATCTGTCTTTTTTTTTTTTTTTTTTTTTTTTGTCGGGAAAGAACTCACTTGTGGTGACAACTTGTGAATTCGCCTCGATACACTTCAGATATTCTTGCTTGATGTAGTCCAGCGAATGACGCGCAAGCTCCAGCTCCATGTCCAGACTGGCGGGATTTACCTCTCTCTTCCCAAAGAATTGCGCCAGTTTTTCTGCGCTCTCCGGCTGACTGAAGAACGCCGGACAATCTTTAAACAGTTTTTCACGCATTTTCTCAAGTTGTAGAGTTAGATGGTAAAGATCGTATTTCCTATTGAAAATGCCCACGGCATCTTTCGTATTTTGCCCGTTAGTCCCGACGGACAGGAAGGACAGAACGCCAAAAAGAAATAGGAACATCATTCTGCTCGAGCTGACGAATGATCGGCACCAAAATACATGAAAATGTCCACGAAGATGCTTATATAAGTATACGTCAACCGCTAGGATTAACCCCGGAGAGTTAACCTATATATATATTTATCTGTCAAGCCGTGAGCTCTGTTCTCAACAGTTTTAAGTAAACCCTTCTTGGTCCAACTTAACGTTGTTTAAAATTATACCGCAAAACTTCTGCAGCCCGAAAACGATCATACTGTGTAATTACTATGCAGCTGTTTTATTGCCAGTTATAAGTGCATAAGCTATTTTTTTCACGCCAAAAAAAGGTGTTAAAGAGTGAAGATAATTTACTAAAAGAAAAAAAAAACATTACATGACGGTAAAACACTCTTTTGCAAATGCGCATTAACATCACACAAAGCCCGATTTTAGATGTTTTTTGCTTTGACAAGAGGCACATTTTGACAGAAAGAATCCAATATAAAATCAATATAAACATAACATGACCACCATTCCACTTTTAAAGCCTTATCTTGGATGAATAAGGCTTATTATTTGCCGTTCACATAGTTGATTTTTTCTTTTTCTAATATTTACGTTATTTTATGACGTCATGATTGAGTTTTAGGAGTAAAAAAAATTATTCCCAGTTATCTCCTTAACCTGAGCACTTACGTACACAATTACAACGCCAATGACACCGTTGGGTTTTAAAAACCCATGTAAGCGATTGATCTCAAATGCTTAGTTCACATTTTACCTTTGAAAAGCCAAAATAATGCCTTCGTTCAATGAAATGACAACTGAAATCGATTAAATCAGTACACTAGTGACTGTGTTACATCTAAAATGGCATCGTAAGTATAAGTGATTATGCAGTTTTCCTTGTTGTGAAACAATTATTTAAGGCCGGTGATAGGGTTAAATACGCTTAAAATCGTGTTTTTGAGTTTTTTGTGTGTTTATATTAATCAAAAAAGTATCTAACGTTGGATGTAATAATTTTTATGAATTTGCATCGCAAAATGCGTCTTTTGATGAGTTTTTCAACCGGCACGCGCCCCAGTCAGGCTGACAACTAAGCCACGCCTCTGTTACTAAGGGCCGTTGCCATGAGGGGGTCGGAGCACAGTTAATGAGTTATAAGCCGATTACGTGTGCGGTAATAGGTCATAAGTCTTACATCAGCTTAGCAGCGAAGAAGTCTAGCTAGTACACTATGGGGAAGAGAAAAGTTCGTGTTAAAAGTCCCTTTCCAGAGGAAAGAAGGAAAATTTTGAGAGTAAGGCCTATGCGTGGCGGTTGGGGAAAACCGGCCCTATTTGTTCAGTCGGATGACTGATTTCTGTATACCTAATAAATGGGTGAAAGAGTTAATCGAAACGTCTAAATTAATTGACAAATGAAAGAAAAATCGATAAAAACATAAATAAAAAAAGCTA